GATATTTAATAGTCCTAATATTCAAGTTTCTGATATAGTTAATTGTAGTCACATAAGATTTAGCCAATCAAATCAATTCTAGTATACATACATTGTTACTGGGCATCAGAGAAAATCTAAAGGAGAAAACTCACAAATAAAGGTCCAATGATGAAAATTCTATGATGAAAGTCTACTAGAGAAAGTTAAAAAACTTCAAAAATAGCACTAAAATTGTATGACGAAAGCTTCAAATATACTTATTATTGGGCTATTACAGCTACAAAGTCTAATTGCCAAATATAAGACTTTTGTATTACTCTAGTATCTACAGAGCCTAATCACCAACATAAAGACTTTGAACTGCTGTTATAACAATGGTATCTAATCATCAATAAAGCTTATACACTTTTCTTAGTTAATGAATTCCTGAGAGAAGGGTGTGTAGGGGATGATAGAGCCAGTTTCACTACAAGGCAGGTGATAGCAAAAAGAAAGATAACCTTCTCTACTAACCAAAAGCTCTTAAATATCACCAAAAAACAATCTTACCTATCATAGTAATACATATTTTCAGCAATCATATGCAATCACAATAATAATCGTGGAAATATCTGCATCTAACAAGATACAAAAAAGAGTGTACAAATAACAAATTGAACATGTGATTCAATAAAGTCATCTGATTTTACAATAACTAATTCTGAAATTTGATTGGCTAATTTTCTCTCATGATCACGTGATATTTTTTAAATCTGATAACCTCCCAAAACTGATACAGATACCTATTCACCATATATATCGGTTTGGAGAAGGTATACTGTACCTAAGTAAACATATCTGAGTAATACCTGAGCAGACATATCTAAATAATTTTTTAATAACAAAAATTTAAATATTCATATAAGTTATTTAAGCTATATATGCTGATGAAATTATTTTGAATTTTAGAATATGAAATTAAAATTTGAAGAAGAAATTGTTTTTAATCTATTTTATTTAAAAGATAAAATTTTTTGATACTTTTTTTGAAAAGACAAAATTATAAAGAATATAACTATCTAAATTAGATTTGCTTTTATATATAAAAAATTTTAAATTGCTCTAATAGAAATAAAATAAGGTTTTTTTAAAAACCTATTTGGTGATATGTATAATCTAAGCTAACTAAATATAATAACTAATAATAAACTTAAATACTTCAATATATTTTACAAAGCTACTAGTATGTAATCTGTCGCTTACGCTGATGGCTATTGATTAGCTATAAATAGAATTAGAGGTGTTAATAGAGTACAATAAGATATAATAAAAAATTATGAAACTGATATAAGATAGTGCTTATAGTAAAATAAAAGAAAAAAATTAAATTTATTAATTATAATTATATTAAGAATAAAGGTACAATTAATGCAATGAATTTAAAAGAGATATTAATATAATCAAAATATTTTAGTTATTAAATAGAAATTCAGAAAAAGTTTGAGAAAAACTTAGCTAAGAAAAAAAGAGAATTTAAATAAAATTAAATATTTATATAAAAAAAATATAATAAAGTAATGTGAAGTTTTTGTAGTGCGCGTTTTAATAAAAAAAAAGAAAGATTTGTTAGTAAGAAAGTATTTTAACGTAGAAAAGATAAGTAAAAATAAAAACTTTCCTAGTAACAAAATATTAGAAAAGAGATCGCTTATCTATAAATTAGAAGTTAGAAAGTAAGCTTTAAAAATAAAAAAAGTAGATTAGTAGATAAAAAAAAAAAGTAAAAAATTTAAAAAAAAGTAAAAAAAAACTAAGAGATATAGAATAAATAAAAAAAATAAAAGTACATAAATGAATAAATATATAGAAAAATTGTGTAAAAAGAGTAAAGTAAATAAAAATAAAGAAACAACCGGATTACTAATATAATACTTCTGGATATACAATATTTTGAGTATATTTATGATCAAATTCTTGTCCTAGTGTTAAAATTTTAAGACTTTGCCTAAAAGTCGTTCTGGAGCAAGCGATATATAGTTGTTCATAAAAGAATACCGGGGTTGACAGATAAATTCTGATGTGGTTAAGTATTTGATCTTGGAATTTATTAATAGTTATAGCAAAAGCGAGTTGTATAGGGAATTGATATCGCTTTAATAAAAAAGATAAAGTTAAATCAGAAGGTGTTAAGTTTATTTAAGGAACGAAAGTATGATAGTCCGCATATTTTTTTGTAATAATTTGAACTTCTATGACATGTCTGTCAAAAGCAGTGCAAACTAAATGAGTGCTATTACAAAGATCTTCTGTAGGGTTAATTGCAAAGAAGTATAACAGGTGCATTTAATTTTAGCGTTAGTTTATATAGAGGTAAACCACTTATAGTAATTGTATTTAAGAATTTGACAGGGTAAAGGTTTTCTTGATTTTCGCTAGTATTGGTTTCATCAATACTGTTTGAACTCAAATATTCAACTTCTTTACCTGGAAATAAACTCATAATTACAGTGTTAAGTAAAAAATATCAGCATTTTTTGGTACAAGAATTTCATATTCCATTAAATAACAATAATTAGTAGCATGTATAGTAAGATTCGCATACACAGAGTCTATTAAATTATGTAGATTTTTGAATGAGAGATGAATATTATCTGGAAGTTTAATATAATTGCCATGGTTAGCAAATCATTTAGCCTGATCTTCTCCAATTTCTAGAAGCCACTTAGCAAAATCTTGATGCTCAGTATTATTTGGTGAATTTTCAGTTTGATATAAGCGTATATTGATTGTCAATTTTATTAGTCGAATATGGTGCTATAGTAGGGAATGTAGCAAACAGAATCCTACGATATCTTTTCTAGTTCTTTTAGGTACTACAAGAAGTATTTGGCAAAAATCTCCTCCAAATATAATGACTTTACCACAGAAAGATAAAGTTTCTAAAGTAGAATTTATAGCTTTTATTAAATCTCTGAGTGTACGATCAATAGCTTCAGGTGCATACTGATTTGCCATAAGAACTTCATCCCAAATTATTAAACTTGCTACTTGTAGAAGTACTGCATGCTCAGATCCATATGAAATATTACAGATAGAGTCGGGATGTAATACAATTAGAATTTTAAAAAGGGAATGTGCAGTACAGCTACCATCTAATAAAAGTGCAGCAATTCTTGAAGAAGCTACTGCAAGTGTTATATGTCCAGTTGATCTAATTTTATCCAAGATCGTACTATACAGAAACATTTTACCTGAGCCTCCAGGGCCGTCAACAAAGAATAACGCAGGTTGTTGAGTCTCTATAGCTGAAATTCTGCATCAAATACTGAACATTGTTCTAAATTTAAGCGAGAATAAGCGGCTTCAGCTCTACGTGTAAGTAGGTCAATATCATAATTTAATTCTCTTGCAATTAAATAGTTTACTAGGTTGTAATATATATATATTACAACCTAGTTACATTAAGTTGTTACCTAGTTATGGGTAAAGTGTTGCCTAGTTATAAGTAAGATGTTATCTAGTTTCTGTTTTTGGCACTTTGTGGCCTTTTGAGAGCTGTCTTGGTTTTCTTGCTTACTTTGCTTTGGATGCTGGTTTGAAGACTGTCTTGGCTTTTTTATTTGCTCTGCCTTGAGTGCCGGTTTGGAGACTGTCTTGGTTATCTTATTTACTCTGCCTTGAGTGTTGATTTAGAGATCGTCTTTGGTATCGAGAGTCTGGATCCCAAGCCTGCCTTGGATCCCGATTCAGATGCTAGCTTGGGTCATGTCATGGATCCCGATTTGGGAACTGGCTTGGGTGAAGAGAGGCTCACGTCATGAATCCCGTTTTGGATGTCAGAATTAAAAAATTAGAATCTATGTTCTGGCCTGCATGGTCTCTTTAGATGCAATCAGTTGCAAGGCACAAAGTGCCGAATTTGCAATCTATCTACTTGCCAGATATTTCGCAATCCATTTGCCATCTTTTAATTGCTAGGTAAGATATATACGAAGTGCTGAAAAATGGTTTGTTATTCTAATGCTTTTTAATTTCAATTATTTTTATAAAATATTTTTTCGAGAGAACCAAACCAGAAGTCATGTGATGAAATTTCACAGAATAATGTTCGTCAAAAAATTGTGCGCGTGACAATTTGTCACGCCGATCACTTTTGCCAAGAAAATTCTCGATCATATTTTTAATATTTGTCTAATAGTAAAGATGATATCGCTCTTCTAAATGCCTATTATTTTGAGAAAATTTTTGATAAATATATTATTCGGGTAGCAGGAAAGGGTTTCACTATAGTTGATCACCTGTCTGAAATTTATGGGATTCCTGATACTCACGAGTGTATTGATGGGAATTTGCCCCTTCGCCTCGTTCTGGACATCGACGCGAGACAATACCCCGATCCCACAAATCCTGAACTCCCTTCCTTAGATAAATATAAAATTTCTCGCAAAGATTTATTA